TTTCTTCTACCTTCTCCAGCCCTTTAATGGCATATTCATTTACCATTGCAACTGCACAAGAAAAAGAACACAGGAATAACTGTTGTTATTCAACAAACATCAAGAACAACACCACAAATAAAAGACAAGGCATAATAAGACACAAACTACATCTAGGCTCGAGATCCTTACTCTGAGGCTCCAGTCGGTCTAGTATGGGTCTGGAACCTGTTGAAGCAGCAGCGCCCAGCGTGCGCACCCCACTCTCTGCAACCTCCATTACTCCTTTCAGGAGTGGCACGCTGTCTTTAGTAGAGCTGTAGGCATTATACACCGCACCACATGCTGAACTCACCAGGGGCAGGTTGCTCACTCGGGATACTACACTCTGAAACACAAATATTAAGGTTTGTTGCCATTTACGCTCAGTTTTTAATGTACATTGAGCTTCATCTATGAAATAGAGCACAACGAATTTCCAAAGTGTTCATAAAACCGTCTTTACGCAGATTAATGTATTAAATTAAATGTAAATAATTAAAATGAGAATGGTTTCATCATGAATGACTCTGTATTTCATATAAAATTTAATATTTGTTGGAAATAAATAAAACTTCTGTTGTTTAATTGTCTGTAGGTGAGAGTCATGAAGTGTGTGACTTACCTGTTGTTCCTGAGTGGCCTGTGATGCCTCTGTGTCCTTCTCTGCCGTTTTCCCGCTATCTGCCATTCTGTGGTACATGTTGCAGTATTAATCAGAAAACAATTGAACAAGAACCATTTACTTTTCTTCTAATCACAGCCAGTCTAGATCCATCTCATAAACACAAACCTATAGTCACAATTAAAACTCACAGGCTGGTCAGAACTCAATCAAATGAGTAATGATGAAAGAATTCTAAACTAAAGAAAATGATCCCTTTAACTCCAATCCTAACCTAACCCTACAATCGGATTGGTTGGGTATAATGTTGTTTCAGGACTAAGAATGAACATGTCATACTTTGGTAATTCAAATTAAATGATGAGTAAACATCATAGCTTTGTGCAAATCATGATAACCATTATAGATACAAAATCATTATCATATCAGATAAGAGATCAGAAAGAAAAACAACAATTTATCAAGTATAATCATAATGTAATATAATATAATATAAATTCATATTATGATATAACTAATATATGATATAAATAATAATTAATATGTCATAATAAGTATATTTATATTATAACAATTTACATTTTTTTCATCTTTAAACCTAAGAGGAGAACATTTGCACGTTATGCGAGTTATTGCAATCTAATAATGGGAAATGAAGGAACGGTGAAGGCGTGTCCTCTCAACCTCCCTTTAGATTGGCAGACAAGGAACATCACATAATATAGCATATAAAAATCGATTTTGTGACACGTAATGTTCAGATAACTTAAAAAAAAAAGTTAAAATCAGGGGAAAATAAACATTCGCTCACAAATGATATCTTTGCTTGCTACACTTCAAAGAAGTGAGCGTTAGTATAGCATGCTAGTCATAGTTATTTTACGTAATGACAAATCAAGAGCGTTGACTAGAGGATCTAGGGTGTAAACTTTCACCCACTTCCTGAAGAATTTGATTGTTGCGCCATTCCGTATGGAATCTGACAGAAAGACGACCAGCATTAACAGTAACCTATAAATCTTACAATGGACTTATTCTCATACTATAGCTATCGATATTGAAAGCGTTCTTGTTCCTGAGGCGCGGCTTGTTTGAGTGCGCTTGAAAAAAAAACTTTCAGCCAACTGGAGACAAAACATAATCGTAGGCTCGCGCTCGCTCTTTGAGAAAAATTAAAAGTCTACTGACATCACATTCTTTCACCGATGAAAAAGATATTGTTTTGCCATCCCACACACTAGTTCTTTTCCCAT